AAAGCTCGAAAGAGCGCAAGCTGCAGAAGAATATGCTACTAAACGCTTTGACGTTTTCACAGCTTCTTCTTGGTTGCTTCAACGGTTTCACCGAAGCGATGCAAACGGCAGTCGCTGTTGTAAACACAGAGAAAGTACATCAGATGAATGGTTATACAGCAGCAAGCATTGACTCGGGGATTGTAACTTAAAGGAAACGATCCGATTAAATTAAGGTTGTTCATCCTTCCACGAACCAAACTGCAAGTAATTGCTTTATGAGACAGGCTCCACGTAGCACAACCAAAAGGAATTGTAGAATCAATGGAAGAGAGACCAGCGGCCCTACGAATAATGGCTCATCACCGGAAATACACATGCGGATGAGTATCCATGCGGCTCTTGCCAGTAAGATTGAGCTAGCTTGGTCAGGAATAACTGAGGACAATGTAGATAATTGCCACGGTTAGGAAGTTCTTGATTTACCTACTATCTAGGAGACCAGAGGGAAATGACACAGAAGGTTTAGCTTGCAAAAACATCGACAACTACTCGGCCTTAAAAAGACACAGAAAACAGACAAAGGCGATCTTAACTCTAATTTGCCCTCCAGATATACTATCTTCATGACACCTATGGATGCCGTAGGCGGCACGCGTTAAAAAACGTAATAGCGGCTTCCGAGTACAGAAAAAGAACACAGTCTATAGATAAGGCTTACATCTCCTATGCGAGGAATTTGAAAGAAAACATGTTCAAAATCCTGCCGTAAAATGCGAAATGCTCTGGGTCCAAAAGGTCCAATCAGACGCATGGTACTTAAGGCGCGAAAGCTTGTGAGCTTCCCAAACAGCCAAGCCCCGAAACCCGTAATTTTTGGAGGAGATGTAGAATCCGTCTCGCCGACGAAGCCCCAGGGGTCAACAAGGATTAGGTGTTTCACTCTGAAGTAGAAAACACAAGAAAATTAATAAATGATGGTTAAAAAATACCTCAGACTGCTTATTTCAAGCGTGTACTGTCAGAGACGGTATGGAAGCAAGATTGCCAGGAGGGTGGTGGTACTAAACATATTAATAATAGGAGCAGTCAGACCAAAAATACGTGGCAATAAAATGGAAGGTCAGTTAGGCGGGCGTAAAGTATTTGTAGCAGCGATAATGATCATAGTGACTAGAAGTACTTTTGTGAAAGACTAGCAGGAGTATGTTGATAAGACGGGTTTACCTTAATTACCACTGCTCACACATCAATGGCGTGGGACGTAACCAATTAGTGACATACCTTTTAGGATGTTCCAGTGCGTAGGCTGCCGAAAGAAATCCGCCCAGGCTGTGACCGATAAAAATAAAGTTCTCAAGTTGCATGTTTTTTCGCCATTCTTCGATAACTTCGACAAATCTGCGTTCTACCTCTTCAGCCGTACCTGGAAAATCCGGTCTGGAACTGCGACCAAACCCCAGCAGGTCAAAGGCGTAAACTCGCCGCCGTTTTGAAAGACTGTCAATATTTTTACACCATAATCCTAAGCCGGAGGCGAAGCCATGGACCAAGACCATGGGTGTGTTTTGCTCTGGATTTGGGCTCCACTTGTGTTGGACAT